TCGTATCCCAGTTCTGGTCGCTACAGTCGTATCCCAGTTCTGGTCGCTACAAACGCCAACTTGATAAGGGAAGTAACTCCTGCTTATTAAGAGGTGAATTTACACTTTGTGAGATGACGCCTGAAGGGAGTTCAAGTCCAGATTTTTATAGAAAATAAAACAAATAACATTAAAATATTTTTGCACATATCTTATTGCATTTATAGCAGACTTATTGAATAAATAAATTTTTCAAAAAATTTCATAACTGTTATAAAGTGATGAAAATATCTATCATACTAACATTATTATAACTATATATTTTTTCTGGATGTATGGTAATTTGAACAAATAGATATTAAAAATCTCATCCAATTTTTTTAAATCTATTCGCAGTATGAGTTCACTCTATTTTTCTGGATATGAAATTCAATTATAAATATAATTAATTATTATTTCCTCCAGATCTAGTAAGTCCATCAAAAGCTGAATGTCACCACTTTAAAGCTCTTTACTTTGATTTCTAGCCTTTCCTTTTATCTTGTAAACGAGATTGTAGTTGCCCTTATTACTATGTGTTTTTCATGCCATAACTCATTGGTAACATATAGGGGAATCCCCAACTTAATGAATTTTTTTCTATCTCACCTACTAAAGAGCTTGATATCCTAGCTAGCATCGGTATTTCAAGCTAGGACAGGGATAGGATAGTTTCGAGGATGGGTATTATCCTAACAGTAGGATGTTCTAATTCCTGTCCTTACTAGTTATGATCTGTCTTAGCAGGGACACTTTCGAGAATAGGCACCCAGGTATATTTAAAGAAATTGAACATATCAGTAATATGGTAATAAATGTGAGAACTGATTGTCATACACAATAACTTACAATGTTCAGTGCCAAATAACATTTAGATTAAGTAGAGCCTTGACTCTTTTACAGATGAGTTCAGTCAGCATGAATACAGATAGGATACTTTCTGACAGGACCATTCGTCGTCAGTCTGCCACCAAAGCTGATGAAATTGTAACAGTCTTAGAATTAGAGTGTAAAAGTAATGCTCCTGATGGCATTATTCAGGAAAATCTTGATGGTATTCAAGACAATTACACTTTCACGTGGATGGAAGACAATGTACATGATCCAATTAGTAATATTTACAATTCACCTGATGAGGAAGAAACATTTTCAGTCGATCTAAGTGATATCGACCATGATTCAGATGTAGGTTTCTTTGGAAATAATCCAGGCAGTGAAACTGAATCTAATTCTGACAGTGATGTAGAGGGAGTGGACAATGAAGCAGATTATTTCATGGATAAACTTAGAGAATGGGTACTGAACAGTTCAACGCCAATAGTACATGTAAACAGCCTACTGGCTCTACTCAGACCATATTTTCCTATGCTTCCCAGGGATGGGAGGACACTGCTTCAAACCAGAAGAACATACATCATTAGAAAACATAGCTGGGGGTAAATATCACCATTTTGGGATTGAAGCTGGAATTAAATTAAAACTGTCAAAACTGAATAGCTTACATCAATATGATGAACTTCATCTCCAGGTGAACATTGATGGATTACCTATATTCAAAAGTACAAATCACTCCTTCTGGCCAATTTTAGGTCTTATTCGAGAAGAAATTGAACCAGAACCATTTGTTATTGGCTTGTGGTTAGGATCATCAAAACCAACTGACATCAATTCTTACCTGCAGCATTTCATTGATGAAATGAAAGCTATCATGGTCAGTGGTGTAACTGTGGGAAATAAATGCTATACGGTTATCATAGAAAATTTTGTGTGTGATACCCCTGCACGTGCACTTGTTAAACTCACCAAAGGACATAGTGGCTACCATGGATGTGATTGCTGTGAACAACCAGGAGAATATTTTATGCACAGAATGACATTCCCTGATGTGAATGCTAGACTCAGAACTGATGTAGCTTTTGATGAAATGTCATGTGAAGAACATCATCGTGGTGAATCCAGGTTGAAGGAATTAAACATAGGCATGGTAACACAATTCCCGCTTGACTACATGCACCTTATTTGCTTAGGCATAGTAAAGAAAATCATCAGTATCTGAACTAGAGGACCATTACATGTTCGCATCGGAAGTGCAACTACAAACTTGTTGTCCAATTCTATCTTGGCCCTTGGCTCATTTTTGCCTCGAGAATTTGCACGGAAGGGAAGAAAACTTGAAGAAATTGAAAGATGGAAGGCTACAGAATTAAGAACATTTCTTTTATATACCGGACCTGTAGCCCTAAGAGGGAAATTGTCAAACATTATGTACAAAAACTTCATGATGCTTTCAGTTGGTGTATCTTTGTTATGTAACAGCAATGTATATTCTCAGTGTGCTGATTATGTCCAGGAAGTCTTTGTTTCTTTTGTCAAACATTTTGGAGAGTTGTATGGTCAAGAAATGTTATCGTACAATGTCCATGCATTGATACACTTACCCGAATGCTCCAGGCGATTTGGACCTCTACAGAACTTTTCAGGTTTCCCTTTTGAAAATTATCTTCAGACTTTGAAAAAATTAATCAGAAAACCAAAATTTCCTCTTGAACAAGTTATTCGACGGTTAACTGAAAAAATGCACCTCCAGTCGTCCAAGAAAAAAGGGGGAATATATTGTAAAAAGAAACATTCCAGAGGACCTCTTTCAGATATTTCTGTTTCCTGCACCCAGTATGAACAAATTCAGATGCCAAATTTTCTGTTGTCAACAAAAGCACCAGACAATTCAGTTATTATTGAAAATGAAACATACATAATCAAGGATGTCATATGTCAAGATAATTTGAGGCTCTGTGTTTGCCAAAAATTTAATCATCGACAATGTTTGTTTACTTATCCCTTTGATTCACTTAAGGTGAATATATCTGTGGTTGGTGGTCTTGCAGAAAAATTGTATGTTTTAGACACAAAGAATATAGCTGCAAAGTCTGTTCTCTTACCATTCAATGAAAATTATGTGTCCATTCCAATGATTTAGAGCTTCAACCATATCCCTACCAACCATACATTTTGTATGGAAAATATTTGAATTTGGTGTTATTTATTCAGGTAATACCTGCTATTTGGAATACATATTAGCCAAGCAATTCATTGTATCCAGTTTGACATTCATGTGGTCACTGTTCATTGTGATTAATTAATGCATTCAACATGTATTTAGCGTATGTTTCATAGAATGTAATAATTATTACATCAACCTGTGAGTTATCTTAGTAATTAACATATTTGTAATGTTAAACTCACGGTGGATTAGTTGCAGCTCTAATTGTAAGTGATAATTAGGGTGACAACTAAAATCAACATGGTTATTATGATGTGCCGTTTTCATTTCCCAATAAACGTCAACCGCCATTTTATAACGTAGGGAAAAAAGGGACGTAACACTCACTGAGTTTTCGGAAATAGATGATCACTACAAAAAATTATGTTTTGTTAAATATTAAGTTAAGCAAACACCAACATGTTAGTATTTTAAATACTATTGTCATATAAGGTTGCAGACAGAATTTACTTATACAATTAAGATGAACCCTTAGCACCCAACATATCTTTTACAGAACTATCACAGATACACAAATGGGACCACTAGAGTTGTTCCCCTTTGAACATGACTGCTCCTAAATTCATACAGGAAAATCAATGAAATATGATTGTTGTTATCATAGAATGTTAAAGAAAATGTTTAGAGATTTTTCCTGTTCCATTTTTAAAAAGTCAATTTGATAAAATTGATCATTTGTGTGATTTGAAAGCATTGCATGGCCTAATATATTCTAACACAAATATATTTCCTCACAAATTCTGATATATGTATGAGGAAAATATCAATCTTTTACAGATCTGTGATGATGTATGCCATAGTATTGTTTGAGCAAACAGATGAAGTTGAAGTAGTCCCTAAATCCTGGATTGAGGGAAAGAAGTGTTTCTGGCGCAACAACATAAGGGGTTCGCATCTGACAAAGGCAATTGAACGGGGTATTCCCCCAGAACAAGACTGGGATATACATCAAATCAGTAGTGTTCTAAAAGAATTTGGTGAGTTTTTCATAATTCTGCTTGTTTTTGTGTTGAACAATAGTGTTAATAGCTTGATGTTTGTTCTATTATATGATTCTTTTTTTAGTTAAATTTAAAACATATATGTCTTCTCCTAGTTACGATGCTCTGAATCATTTTAGAGGACTACAAAAAGGCTCGACTTAAATGTAAGAGGGTGGAGGAGAGACTAACCACCGACCTTGATACAACTGATGTTGAGTCAAGATCAAGGAAGAGGTAAACCAAGTATTTACAGTTATATTTAGCATAACTGATGACTTTTGGCTTTCACCTTTTCATAATGCATGTTAAACCCTCATTAATACTCAGTACTAATTACTGATAGATCTTCTTTTTATATTGTTAATTTAAAAAAATAATCAGAACCTGTCCACATGTAGGCGCCGTCCTGGGAAATATTGCAATGAAGATGAACAAGGACATGAGAAAGGTGAAGGTGACTTGTCCAGGAACAACACACAAGTGCAAGTCCGTGAAAGGTTTGTCATAAGATTAAAAAATAAATAAATTGATGAACTTCTTATAAATACTGTAAAGTACAATAACAGTGAGTCAAAATTACAAATAAACAAGTGTCTCGGTCATTGATATAAACTTACATTAATCTAGTTACCAACATATGTAATTATAACAATTGCAGCCACTGCAGTCTCTCCATGTAATCTCTCACATGTGTATGGAGAATAAGTAACTTTGTTGATAACTGGTTACTGCTGTTTTGTTTTAACAACTGAAAATATTGTAGTGAAGAAAGCGCCGAGAAAGTTTGAAGAAGAAACAACATCCTCTGCCATGTCTTCCACGATCTGCGTCGGAATTTTTCTTTTGCGAATGATGCAAGGTTCTTATTTCCTGTTTGAATATATCAGTGCATAAACATGGGCAATATAAAATATAGCCTATATATAAAACAACTGCATTTAAAAATTTGTAAATACAATAAAGCATAAAGGCAGTAAATATTTATAATGTACATTAACTTACAACATTTGCTTTTTCAAGACAATGCATGATATGATAGGTAACTATTCTTGGCTCAGAGTTTTTTAATCTCCAATTGGTATTGTTACACTGCAAGTTACAGCTTTGAATATATTTCCTATTTCCAGTTCTGATACCGACTGCGAGAGTCATGCAAGGGTCCCAAGTAACACGCTGCCTGATGAACCAACAAGTTCTTCCACAGCGACGCATTTTCCCTCCTTTCAAACTCCAATCAAGAGGTCTATCACTTCAAAGTTGGTGTTACTATATGTATCATACCTGTAGTTGCAAATTATCATATAGCAGTTGTTGATACAAGTAACCATACCCAATTCCATTTCGGTTTCCATTTAAAAAATATTGGTGTGATCTGATAAACAATTCTGGACAGATATGTTGGCATTCACTTTATATTGACATAAGATTTGGTAAAATCTTATTAACATCTTAATATACCCATCAAGCATCCAAAATGATATACCTTTCTACTTAAACATTTTCAGTTACACTAATCCAAGAGTGCCGAACAAAACAACAATTCGGTAAGACTTTTTCTTATACCTCTTCCTGCATGAATGTATGTATAGTCTATAAGTAAACTAAAATAGCTTCCCTTGCATGGGTAAAGGGGTAATGTCATTGTAATTTTAATATAATGGGGACACTGATAAATTTGTACTTGCCTGTTGTAATTTTTACTGGCCCCGACTCGCAGAGACTAGTGTGAAGTTGTAACCGCACTGGATAAAATTCTTTACTCCAATGGACTGCAATTACTGCAATACCTGCATGAAGCCTATGCCTGTACAGGGCTCGATTTAGTGCTTCGTTACTTGCACTGGTGCAAGCCAATATTACAAAGTGCAACCTAGTTATTAGTCTAACTTGCACCAGGCGCAAGTCAATTTTTTAGTGGGTAAACTTCTGAATAAAACATCTAAATAATGCAATAGCATATTTCTGATATTACATATTGCAATACAAACATTGCAACTGGAATTTGACTGGTGCAACTAGTTTTTTATCTTAGGTTGCACCTGGTGTAAGTAGGTTAAAATCTCTTAAATCGAGCCCTGCTGTATAAACGTGTGAAGGAAATTTAAAAGGATCCTAAGTATAGATCAGTATTGGAAAACAGAGATTGTGCCTGTCATGTCTTAGTAGTGAACTCTTTCAATTACAGACCTAGTCCAAGTATGATGAGGGATGCTGGAAATGTAACACTTCAATTGACCCCTTGAAAGGTAATAGTGAAATAGTCATAGATCAAACATATAAATTTCCTCGAAACTGAAATTTCCTTAAGAGTTTTATTATAAAACATGTTGTTTTGTACTTGTTTTTGATGAGTGAATTATGTATTTGCAGAGATCGCATACTATTCTCAACCTTGCTAACAATCAAGGCCATGGTAAGAAACAATAGCATTGCCATCCAAAGACTGTCGGAGCAGGCCGACAAGAACCTAAGTCAAGGGGAGGTGGAAGAATCAATCGACAACTTTGGCTTCCCCTTCAAAACCATTGATCAGGTCCGACAGGTTGAAAACATTTTGGAGGACAAAACAAAGTTCAAACTTCTGGTGAGGAAAAAGCACATTTTCAAAGAACACAAAACCTTAAGTTAATGATACTTACCTGCATAATCACATGAGGAAAAACAAAAAGTAATTTCAACATTTCAAACTGAATTCTGTTGTGAATTTACAACAAATGTCAAATTTACTTTACATCAAAAGATGAACACTTTTCTGTCAATAAGTAGTTTGGGGTGTGTGTGTGTGTGTGTGTGTGTGTGAGAGAGAGAGAGAGAGAGAGAGAGAGAGAGCGCACATTGCACGTGTGTGTGTGTGTGAGTGTGTGCAAGTGTTAACACATACACAGAGATGGAACATTAATCAGGAGACATTAAAGTGCATAAATTATATATCAGAAGTTTTAAACACTGACAACCTCTAATATCAAAACATTATTGAAAACTATTATGTGATGGGAATTGATATGGCAGAATGATATGATTTGAATATTTGATTGTATAAATATGAATGTTTGCCTTTTGTTTAACCAAAATTTTGTACTTTAAATTTTCACAGGTACGTCATCTAACTGGATTGGGGGGATTCACAACCAAAGAGGTGGTGGACAGAATGATGTCACTTGTGTTCACCACCTCAATGGCTCGCCAGTTCAACTGGGTGGGGAAGGCGCCCAAATATGGGATGAAAGGCATGAAGATTACTGCTGCTATTAAGGGTATTGTCACTTTTTTACTTTGTTTAACACAAATAAATCTAATATGAATTCAATGACAGTATTAACAATGTAATTGTCTTTCAAAAATCATTTCAATTTGATTCAAATCTCAAAAGTAGATAAGGAAATGTAACAGCAATTTATAAAGTCTGGGCAAATCCTCAGTCTGATTTTTCTTCGAAACAGAATCAGGTAAATGCAGCAGGACCACTGAATGTGAACTTGAAACTGCAATGAGACTTTGGCTGAAGAACGCCCACGACAGGGATGGGGGCAGGAAAAAGAGGGGTGAGATGAGACCAAACACATATATTTCTTTTAGTCAAATAGGCATGAAAGTAAGTGTATGGGGTAAACAGAATCACAGGGGCATGTCACGCTTAGAAACAGCATTAGAAAGACATATAGGTACATAGACACTACCCTAGTACTACATAAAAGGAAACTTTAAGGATGTAACTACGGAACCAACCCCTCCTCAATCAAAGTTATATTTCACCACGTAAACTATTTTTAGGCCCCGTCGAGGCCTACAGATCGAAAGCGAGATGATTTCCCTACAAAATGAGCTATAAATGGTCACAATCGGATCATTATTACAAAAGTTATACGCCACAACTCACCGAAAACAGCTACCTCCGCAATTCCAAGCCAAAATCATGGATCACCCAAGACAGCGAAAACTCACCTTTTAAATTCGTTTATTAATTCCAGCCACGCTTGACAGCACCTATGTAGGGCTAGATTAGACCTGCAGCGGCATTCCACGGGTCTAAAACTTATTTCAACATCTACAAATCATTTCTTCGACAGTAAGCAGGCACTTTCTCCAAAACCATTGGCAATCATACTCACTTGTCGGCCATAGGCGGCCTTGACATTCAAGTGATCTGAGCAGATCAAGAGAAACTGAATTAGGCCATCCGATTGGTGGAAAATGTAATATACTGTAAGATTTGACTGTTGGCTAATGGGCGCGAAATATGAACTTTGCAATATTCCTTCTATTTTGGATCATGTACGGAACAGTAAATTGTTAAGAATAATTTTAGAGGTTGTAAAAATGTATTCGATACTGATTCATTTTTAGGAAATTCTATTTATAAATATTAAACCTCTAAATTTATTTATTTCAAGGCCATCTATGGCCGACAAGTGAGTATGATTGCCGATGGTTTTGGAGAAAGTGCCTGCTTACTGTCGAGGAAATGATTTGTAGATGTTGAAAAAAGTTTTTAGACCCGTGGACTACCGCTGCCGGTCGAATCTAGCCCTACATAGGTGCTGTCAGCGTAGCTAGAATTAATAAACGAATTTAAAAGGTGAGTTTTCTAACGCTGTTTCTAAGCGTGACACACCCCTGTGAACAGAATTGCACATGACTATGCATTTATTCAAAATTTCATGGTTGATAGTCAAGAACAATATTGTTTCTACATTCCATAACTTCTGTAAACTAAATATGTTGGCAGTGCAAGGACAACTTTCAGTGTAAAAGTATTATACCAAACCCCTAAAACCATCATCACCCCCGTACCCATAAATTATGAGCGGTCCCCTAGGACAAATACTAGGATAGGTTCTGACTTGTCCTAAGTCTATCTTAGTGGAAATCAACATGGGGTGGTACTTGATTGTTTACCAATTTTTACGTAGTGAAACAAAATAAGTCGCCATAGTTACATTTGCATTTACAACAGCACACAGATTGGATGAGTTAAGAAGAGTTTTTTGTGTTTATATTATCAATTTATCTTTAATGAATAGACACATTGGTTGCAAAGCACATATTCTTTAGATCTACAAAAGAGATTTGTTCAGTTCTTACCTATTCTCGGCCTTTTTATTCTCAACACTGCTCTTTTCTGTCACATTGCTGTGAAATGTCAATGTGAAGGCCAACTTGATAGGGGAAGTAACTCCTGTTTATTTCCTAGGTGAATTTTCAGTTTGTGAGATGACGCATAATGAGAAGTCAAGTCAAGATTTTCAACAAAAACAAATCAAATAAAATGAAAATATTTTTGCACATATCTTCTTGCTTTTTTGGCAGACTTTCAAAATCTGTCGTAAAAGTGTTATCTCCTATTCAAATAAATGAATTTTCAAAATTTTCAAAAACACTATAATGTGAAGAAAATATTGAATAATGAATATATTAACATATAACAATACTTTTTATCTGGAAGTATGGGAACTCGAACAAATACATATTACAAATTTAAATATTTTAAATTTTTCAAGGATTACTTTACTCTATTTTTCTGTATATAAGATGTGTATTTTAATTAATTATAATTTCTTAAAATCAACCAAAAGCTGAATTTCCCTGTTTTCAAGCTTTTTACTTTGATTTCCAGTATTACCATTTATCTTGTAAACGAGATTGTAGTTGCTCTTATATATGTGTTTTTATGGAATGAATTATGGGTGATATTTAGGGGAAATTCTCAACATAATGAATGGTTTTCTATCTCACCTACTGAAGAGCTCGCTATCCTAGTTAGGATCGGTAGCTCAAGTTTGGACAGGGATAGGATCGGTTCGAGAATGGGTCTTATCATAACGGTAGGATGTCCTAACTCCTGTCCTAACTAGTTAGGATCTGCCTTAGCTGGGACACTTTCGAGAATAGGCACTCTGGCCTGCTGTACCATTTTAGCAAAATATAACAGCTAGATTAGATACATTTGTAATTTGATTTTGTTTGTTTTCAGAGAGGGATGCTGAAGAAAGAAAAAATATTGCCAGAGCTCGGGCAATACTACTGGATTCTTCAGACTCTGATTGAGCAGCCCTGTCCATGTGTAAATATCTAAGGATGAAAAGAATAAAATAATTTCTTCACTCTATACAAGATTTTGTTCTTTGTGGTGGACTGTGTGTTTCTGTGTCTATTTTGTAACATCACATACAGCAATATTCCAGCTATATGACTGTGGGTTAAGATGAATGACTTAACCAAGTCAGGTAGCTTGACCACACGATATCGATAGTCGTCTGTTACTACTTGTTTGTTGAAAAACAATTGTAACCCTTTTATTCACGGGTAGCCTATAGACCAGCAATATGATGATGGTGAAAACTTCTGCCCGTTAGGTTCAACTGCTTGCCACCTGTGGGCCAGTGCTATCTGGGTGGTTCTAGAGGTCACTTGACTAACAACTAGTGGTGGACTGTGTGTTTCTGTATGGTTTAGACCACATACAGCAATATTCGAGCTTTATTACTGTGGTCTGTAGACAACCCTGTTCATTATTGACATGTTGAGCAATTGGGATAAGATGAATGACATGACTCAACCAAGTCAACGAGCATGACCACACGATCCCTTAGTCGTCTGTTATGACTGGAAAACAGTTCTAACCCGGATCTTCATGGTTAGCCCTTAGACCAGCAATAGGATAATAGTGACAAATTCTATATGTTACGGTGTAGTGGCTTGCCAGCGGTGGGCCACTGGTTTGCCGCCGGTGCCACCAGTACCACCAGTGGGCCATCGAAGATCAGCTGGACACGCCATAAGTGGCCCACCGGTGGACCACCAGTACAGCTTACGGTGGGCCATGGGTGGGCCACCACAGACGTGCTATCTGGGTCCCCACTCCCTTGCAGCTCTCTTCTCCGCACCTAAATTGAAAAGAATAAATCCACACACCACAAAACTCCATAATGTTTATGAAAAGTGATATGTAGTGAACTGAGGAGTGCTCAGACAAGTGTTTTGACAGTTTGATTTCTTATGCCCGTACTCCAGTGTCTGTTAGGACGGTATCCTCCCATTACCCCTACAGCTTATAACAACAAAGTTCACGGTCCAATGCACTGCTAATCCCCTTCCTGTTACCTGTTACCTGGACAAGGACTAGCCCAAACACATGAACACAAAATTTAATGTTTTAATTTATGGATTTAATTACACAAATAAATGAATATACTGTAAACGTACTTATTTTCGCGTGGTGCAATTTTCGCGGAATTGACAGTTTAGACCACATCGCGCGGTCAATTATTCGCGCAATCAGCAATTGCCGGAACTGCCAGCTGTCTCTTTGGCCGCCACTAATAGCAGTGAAAACAAACAGAGTGGCTTAACCTGTCAGGCGGCGTGTATTGCTTACTCACAGGAAATCCCTATCTGTGCGATATACCAGTACACAGTAATCCGTTTACTCACGGAAGTATTAAGTGCTTAGGAAGTGAGATATCGTGATGCAAGTACTAGTATATAAAGAGATGAAAAACACATCAGTCTTATGTTCCGAATTCTGACGATCTGACGATGGCATTGCGAATGTGGTTAAAGAAAGCACCTACCCCCAAGACACCTGGACTTCCAGATCCAAATGACTGTAAAGATCGATGACACTGAGATCGAAGTTGTAATCGCTGCAAATGCTGCAGTAGATCTACTTGAGGAAGAAATGGCGACAAGTGACACGTCACGTGACCCATCATTCCGTAAAAGGAAACGTGGGGAATACCAAAATTATGATACGGAAGTCCGGGCGAAAATTGCTGTGTATGCGATTGAACATGGTGTTATGAAGGCAGCCCGTAAGTATTCATGTGAACTGAAGAAGAAAGTGAACGAATCTACTGTTCGTAGTATGAAAGCAAATTTCTTGAAACAGCAAAGTAAATCGGCAGAATCTCCACGCCGATTGGTTAAGGCTGTCCAAGGTTAGAGGCCAAAGCTGGGTCAATACGAAGACGAGATAAAGAACTGGGTGGAAAAAAAAAAGATTGTCTGGTAGTGCTGTCAACACAAGAACATTGCTTGCAGCAACTGATGGAATCATGAGAAAACGTGTTGAAAGGATTTGGTGGACATGTTGAATTGACTGATTCCTGGGCTAGATCACTTCTAAGACGAATGGATTTTGTTAAACGCAAGGGAACTAAAGGTGTGAAGATGCTGCCGTCTGATTTCGCCGTCATCAAGACTGAGTTCCTGAATCGTGTACAGAGTGTCATCGACCAGAATGTCATCCCCGATAAACTAGTGATCAACTGGGACCAGACTGGCCTCTCTCTCCTTCCTGGTGGTGACTGGACCATGGAAGAACGTGGGACGAAACAAGTGACCATCTCAGGCATGGTCGACAAGCGACAGATCACAGGTCTACTTTCTATGACAAAGTCCGGTGATTTGCTGCCCCCTCAGCTGGTCTACGCTGGAAAATCAGACGGATACACAGATATCTTCCTGGTCGTGACATGTATATGAGCAGCAGGTCACGTTAACTTTTTTAATGTTAATTTTTGTCTTTTAAACAAGTCTCTATCCCAATTTGAGGAGATGGCCCACAGCGTCAAGGAACTGCATTGGTGTTTTCAGTCTGAGCTGCTCCTTGAGGCGACACAAACGATGCTCCATCTCCCTGTACACTCTCTTTCTGCTTCTCTGAGCTGCTCCAAAGTCTATCTGGGAAATTTTCGCTCTCGCAGCGTGTTCAACTTTCCTGATCACCTCCACAAATCGGTAGATGTTGGGGTGTCGATGTGAGAGTCCACGGTTCAGGCGGTTGTGGAATCCCTCTAGGTTGTTGTTTGTCCTTGGACCTGTTGTTGAGTGATGGTTCCACAGTTGCAGACGGAATCTTGCGTCGTCGTCGACCCAGGTAGTCACCCTGTAATCGTTGAAGGTGGCCGCTCTAGGTACATCGGGAGCGTCGTCCATGGCGTCAACCCACGTGTCCTGGATACTGTTCTGGGGTAAAAGGGGTAGTCCAGCCGCTCTTTTTACCCATCTGGATATTTCCAGATCCTCTCTGTAAGCAACAGCAAGTCCCAGATCCTGGACCTTCCTCCAAATGGCCTGACAGTAGTGGAAGAAGCAACCTTCACTTCAGCAGTCGGAAACTCTTTCTCTATAGCATGAATTGCCGCCAGCTCAAAGTCTGTCTGGACACAGGATGGGGCAAGCGGCCGGTTAAGTCTCTGCTGAACTTCATTCTTGATGAATCTGAAGGGTCTGGAGTAGGTCTCAGTCTGACGGTCGGGGAGTAAGGTGAAGATGAAGGTATAGGTTGTGGTTCCACGTCTTGCATGTAGGATGTACACTTGATTCCACAGACCAGGGCAGGCAGTAAAGGTTCCATCCATACCGATGATTTCAGAAGACTGCAAGGCCTGAAAACTATCCATGCTGCCAAATGCCAGGATCTTATCGTCATCACCATCTGAAAACAGGAGGAAGGGTCGACCATCTGCTGCTGTTCATCTTAACAAACTTTCTCTAACCAAGAACACCTTAATCCTTTCTAAGTTGTATACACAACACTTTAATCGCTCCCATTGGTAAGTTCATCATGCCAGACAGGTAAATGCCGTGTGTTGTTTTAACTAATTGTAGGGGTACTGGGATGTAGGGGTAATGGGGTGTAGGGGTAATGGGATACAACCGTTAGGACCCGAGCCCATTCATTGCTGCACTCGTAGCCGCTCATGCAGACCGGTCCGCATAATCTGTACTTTATTGAGAAAGTGTAATCACAAATATAACATACGTAAGGTTATATCTGACCACTTTCTGAAAGGCATTGTGTATTCATAAACAGTCACGGTCACTCTCATCCCCAAGTCTGTAACGGACATCTTAAGTTCACGGTGGTACATGCATAGCCTCACAAGATTTCAGTTCTCTTAGCCCCGACATGAGTACCGCATATATGAGTTATTTAGAGTAATACAGAAACATTATCTTTCGTAAAAGCGGAGGCGGCAACAACCGATATACTTTTTCACATCAAATTGCGAACGTCACTGAACTTCTGCAACAGCCTCGGGTATTGTGTTGATAAAACCTAAGCTGACCAGTATCAGCAAAACCACGAAAGGGAAAATAACAATTCACAAAACAAGTATTTCACTCAACTGATACAACTCACTTGAAGTCAAGCCTAAATGTAGCTGGTATACTGATCAACACAAAATTATGTACACCACATTTGTGCACACCAAAACAATATTCTGAAATCATAATATACCCTATGAGGTGTCCGAGACAGAAAATAATTGGAAAAGCCTATATTACAATATATAGAGATATAAAATGCCAGAAAGAATATCCAGTCTCTATTAACAGCTAAAAGGGATTCAATTGGCGTAATAAGGGATAACATAGCGGTGAATATATCAGTACTTAATGACACTAGGTGTTCGCGAAAAGCACAGTTCGCGTTAAAAATGAGTTTAAATAAAATAATACAAGGCATTTGCCATTATACCTGTGCAGGATCATTAGATTTGAACAGGTTCATTTTAATGTATAAACTGTGATGTGATTAAAACCGACAGGCCTACGAATGTTTCAAGCCATTGTTGATCAACAACCCTCCCAACATGTTTTCGTGGGCGTGACCATGTTGATAGAGAAGCTCTTTATGAATGGCTCCGTTGGCAGGATTAGATTTGAGCGAGCGCATGGTCTGTTTGATTTGTCCATCGTCTGTGTTAAACGCTCGTGTTGTTTATCACATAAGGGATGTTTTTAAAATCTGCTTGAGTTGGTTGAACAAGTCCATCGTCCTCTGAAAATAGGCCCTGTAGCGTATGAATCCTAAGGTCATGTCTATCCAATCAGAAACGAGGCCACACTGTGTTGGCGACTTCTATACAGTCTCAATGGCGGAACGTCGAGTGCGGAAATCGCTCTGTTCCACTGCAGAAATTGTGATAGTACCGTAGGATATGAGGTTGTAGAGGTGAGATATTGTTATAATCTTTTGTATTCAAGTTTTTAACTCATCTAGCGTTCCGTAAAACACGCATCGATGCGTATACAATCTTTCATGCACATGCTGCCTTGGTAGCCTGTGTGAAAACAACGTCAGTATGACCGATTGTACAAAATAGCTGACTCTCAGTAAATGTACTTATTCGCCTTTTGGCCCTAACTAGTCAAAAACACCATCATAATCTGGGGATATATACGACGTTTTTTCATCGTTTGCTCCAGCAAAACCGATGTTTTCTGATCATTGTATTGTCCAATAACAACTAGTCTCCATCATGTAAGCAGACAGTCGAATGACCGTGCTTACCTGCCACACAGGTGAACTTGCGTGCCGAATGAACAGCAGACGGACGTAGACGGCACGGGTCATTCATATAACTTTTGAACTATAGCTTTATTCAATACCGAGAGTGTTGTAGATCCTCGTGTCTATACGAAAATGATTAATTTGAAGTACGTCAGTTTTGGTTGTCAACATGCCAGGGAGTTCAACCATAGACCAGTTTATCTGGTTGGGGATATAGACTATGTCAAAATAAGTACCTCAAACGATACATTGTCTCTTCTGCTTTCGGTGTGATGTCTGCTCATTCCCAGAGTGCAGCAGTTGTGTCCACAAATAATTTGTAAGTTTCATGCAAGGGCTGCGATGTGTCATGTATCTAGATGTAGGTAAATTGTTAAGTGGATATTAATTTACCATTGATAAATACTCAGACTCTCCCTTATCGCATGATGCATCACATGAATACATCGGGAAAATAGGAACACCATGCCCAGTATTGGTTGTTTACATATGCAAATTATGTAAAAAATATTGCTGCTATAGTAAAAGTGATTTATTTCATTTTCAGTGGAATGTTTAACAGGGTCGTAGGTAGCCCGGGGGGTTATTGATATAACACTCTTTTGAGTGTCAAGTACACACACACACACCCTTTTGTCCTGAAAGTTTATTAAATGATCATTGAAACTCGTGAAACTGAAGTGTGCACCCCTCCTTTCTCAAAAAGCTGTATCCGGCCTTGGGGATGCCCATCTGGCACTGGCAGATGATCGGTACCAGAATGATACACCTTATTACATATGATAACAACAACCATTAATAAAAAACATAAGGAATCCAAGGCAATGACATAGACTACACAGAACCCTAACTGAAGGCATATTGTGAAATACCTAATGGCATTTAATGAACAAAAGACTTAATTAAAAAAAAGATTGTATTCAATCCACATGACTCTAAAAGGCAGGATAGACAAAATAGAGAAAAACATACAAAACAATGAATACACAATGCACAAACAAACATTCTACCATGACTTCAGTAAACACTGGATTGTGATTGGTTAATTAAAGTCACTCAGAGGTATATAATCACGTTATACAGGTCTCTGTTTTCCGTGCACAATCATACATGGTTTACGGTAATGCACTATTTTTGTCTGCCCACTAGATATCTAACATGGCGGACACCAAACAACCTACCGATGCATCGATAAATTACGGCGATTTACTGTCGGAAATTACACATATGTCTTTAAAGATGGATTTAGCGATGACGGGCTCGACTCACTACTTGGCGTAAATCACAGCAATAGGTGTTTATACATACAAAAGTAGCTCAAAGCATGGAAACAAATATTCAGTCGAACAAGATCAAAACATCGCGTCTGCTTTCCGAATAAAAATTCAGCAAAAACAAATATGTTTACGTTGATTCTATGTTATGTCAGAATAGATCCAGCAATACACTGCTACAAAATTTCCGTGTTAAATTTATTATCAGCTTTCGTCAACGATATCGCCACTGATCTTGATCCGGTAACGGAGGATGTATTAACATCGAACGCCGAAGAAATTTTAATGCCTTCCGTCCACATAAATAAACAGTTGGGTTATCAATTCAAATAAAATGATATTTTGAAATTTGTACTGTTTCAAATTTAGCGGTAGTAAAACACAATTACTGAATCTGCAAACCGTTCTGTTTAGCCCAACATATATTTTTTCTAACAGTGTAATATCGTTGAAAAAGTTATTTGGCTTAGTCATGATCCCTCTTATCCATTACACTGCTTGATCTAAAGTAGTCTATTAAAGTATACCTTACCGTGTTTATGCCAGAGGTACACCCTCATGTCCTGGTCCATCCTTTCGGAAATATCACCACAAATCTGGCTCTTTGTCAACAGACTCGCGAACATGCCAGCGAATCCGATTCAATTTGAATTCACTACACTTTGAAGCCACTAGGTCACAAAACACTTTCAAAATGTAGAAAATAATATCTGTAGAATTGAATTTGAGCACAAAGTACACACATGAGTGTGTAAGTCACCACAAGCTGTCACCGCACGAGACGAGAGGTGCGTGAAATCGTCAAAGTTGATAGGGCTTAATATTCAACAGCATCTAATTCGGTACAACCCGGACTTCTCGCTACAGCAAAAGCCTCTACTCTTAAATTTTGTACCAGAACCAGTAATTAGATATCAAAGACTATCTCAGTCATACAATCAGGTTAACCTTGCATGAAACTGTCAGGCTCTCCTGTCGTGATCTTTCCAAATTTGCACGAAATGTAAACAATGACTTCGAGAAAAGGTCAAGGCCATGAGGTTGCTGCCATTATTCTGGTGGGGTAAGGGTCTACGGTGGAATTTTCAAATGTGAACCAAGCTTTTAAACTTATTTGATATATGTTTTCCAACTTATCAGTTAATGATTGGTGATTGATGCATTGAAAAACAAAACCTGATTTGTTATTACTGAATCTGGAGTTTGTTAGTCATTGACAGTTTGCCACCAATCACCCCGCTTCGGCGATGCCACTTGAGATTGAATGCGAGGCCGCTTCATCGCATTGACTCGTAACCAAAGAAAGAGCTCCACGTGAAACTGTTCATAAAATTGTCATGGTAGAATGGAGATAAGCCTACTGTGTGGGAAAATCAGAGGTATATAACGAAATTATTATAGCTCTAAATTGTTCATTTAAAACCTCACGCTACGCGTTCGGTTTTAAATTAAATTTATAATAGCTCTAAATTGTTCATTTAAAACCTCACGCTACGCGTTCGGTTTTAAATTAAATTTAGAGCTATTATAATTTCGTTATATACCTCTGATTTTCCCACACAGTAGGTTTATCTCCTAATTGATTGGTGAAAAAATAAATACATAGTTATATAAACTATCAACAGTTTTAAAAAACCCGGGAAAAAATGGTCAAACTGCAAGAAAAAAAATAAATTTTATGCATAATTGGAGATTACATAAATGGAGTCATTTTACCTTCAGAAAGCAGGGGGTTAAAGCGTTGGCTCGTCACGCCGAAGACCTGGGTTTGATTCCCCACATGGGCACAATGTGTTAAGCCCATTTCTGGTGTTCCCCGCGGTGATATTGCTGGAATATTGCTAAAAGCGGCGTAAAACTAAACTCAGTCAGTCAGAAAGCAGGATATTGCATCTGTCTGAGAGCATTTAATTTTATAATATCCCCAGGGGAGCATTTCCCCCCCTTACATCCTCGGCCACTCAGGTCTCGAACATGAATAGTGAGTATGGTTATCATATCCCATCAGTTTAAGGACATCGCTCATATCAGTTGCAGATGTATTTGATCTGGGAGTTTTTTCATTTACAGTTGGGACTGTAGGGTAGCCTCATGGTTAAAGCATTCGCTTGAAGGCTCGGGTTTGATTCCCCAAATGGGTACAATGTGTGAAGCCCATTTCTGGTGTCCCCTTCCATGATATTACTGGAAAATATTGCTAAAAGCGGTGTAAAACCATACTCGCACACTCACCATCATTTACAATAGTGCTGCTGATGTGTTTGTGAGTGTGACGTGAAGGAAACTAAAATCATGTGCATAACATTTCATTATTTTTTGTTTCTTTTCAGGACAGGTGACATGATGAGGCTACGGGGTGCCTTGACCTTCCTCGAACTGCTTGTGCTGCAGCTGCAGTGGCAAACTGCTGTTTTGCTGTCACACTCTGATTTTCACTCAACTTTAACACAGGAAAACTTCCACTTTTCACAAAAAAATTACAATGGAACCATACCGGAAAATGCCCATGGGAAAACTTACGTCCTATCTCCAATGCGGATGGGAGTTTCTCGATTGAACTCATCTGTAGATGTAGAATACAAAATAGACAGAGGTGACAAGAGTAAAATATTCAGGGCAGAACCTGTATGCATTTTAGATTTCTGTTTCTTACGGATAAGAACGAGGACGGATGCATCGGGTGAATTAAATCGTGAACATAAGGATACGTTTGACTTACAGTGAAAGCAGAGGGAAGTATCCCACTGGATGGAAAGTACTCAGTGCATTCACTTACGTTCGAGTGACCGTAATTGATGAGAATGATCTAAGTCCCCTATTTTATCCTGAAGAATATAGTGTTTCCATCCCAGAAAACACAACCATTCACAAGGGTATTGCAAGGGTGACTGCATCAGATGCTGATATAGGAATTAATGGAGAAATCTACTATTCATTTGTAAAGTCCACTAAACTTTTGCAATTCACCCAGCTACAGGGTGGTATCTCTAACCAGACCTTTGAACTACAGTGTGGAGAAAGAGCATAAACTGAACATCCTTGCTAATGACCGAGGGCTTAAAACAAAGGGGTCACAAAGAAGTAGCACAGCGCTGGTCATAATATCTGTGCAGCCAGTTAACTACCATTCACCTTCCATAATTGTTCACAGGCTCCCAACAGTTGCTGAACATGGAAATATTGGCACAGTTTATGCAATTCTCACTGTAACTGATGATGATATTGGAAATAATGGAAAAATTAACCTTGTTGCTATTGCATCCGGAAATGTTGGTGATAGATTTGCCATTGTAAAATCAAGAGAAGCAGAAGGCATATATAACATAAGAGTTGCTGCAAACCTTGACAGAGAATTAACACCATATGGATATAATCTTACAGTGATTGCAACTGACATGGGTTCACCTTCTTTGACAACAACAGTTCTGGTGCATGTTGCTATACAGGACACAAATGACAATGTACCAGAATTTGATCAGAAGGAATTCAATGTGTCAGTGTCTGAAGTTGTACCTTTAAACACTCCAGTTACAACAGTGAAAGCTGGGGATCTAGATCTTGGTCGGAATGGTGAAGTTGAATATAGCATTGGAAGTGGAAATGACAAGAACATATTTAAAATTGATATGGAATCAGGACTCATCACAACCAGATCATTTCTAGATGCAGAGAAGCTTCAGATGATCAGACTTCAAATCTTAGCTGAAGATAAAGCAAACTCTGGAGCAAGAAAGATCGGTCAAACCTTTGTCAATATTTATGTAAAGATTTTAATGACAATGCACCAGTTTTTGATGAAACTCAGCTTTCTGGCAGTATCGTAGAAAATGCAGCAAATGGGACAATGGTTTTGCAAATATCTGCAACTGATGCAGATGCCGGTGAGAATGGTAGAGTGAGCTATTCAATTGTGAATTTTCACATGGCTCCTTTTGAAATTGATCATTTCACTGGTATCATCACAACTACCAGACCTCTTGATTATGAAGTCATGCAAAAGGTGTATAACGTGGTTGTTAGGGCTTCGGACTGGGGTGCTCCACACAGACATGAAACTGAGGCTGTCGTTAAAATAAAACTTGAGAATGTAAATGATAATGAACCAGTGTTTGAGAAAGTAGACTGTAGTGGCTACCTGTCACGTGATGCTAGGGAAAATACAGAAATTGTAATTCTTCCAGCTATAGATTTTGATGAGGGGGATATTATTACTTACAGAATTGTTGATGGTAATGAAAATAATTGCTTCAGTATGGAACCATCCACTGGAGTTGTCTCTCTGGGTAAATGTAATCTAGCAGGCATAGATAGTGACACCATAAGACTTCTTATAGATGCTACAGATGGTGCTCACTACTCTGTTCCAGCTGTCATCAATCTCTCATTGGTAAACAGCAAAACTAGTGTGCAGGAAAAGGCCATTGTCAACTGTAAGGATACAAATGTAACAGATCTACTTCAGAACATGATAAGAGCGTCCAACGAAAACAACAAAGACACTAGTGACAGTGAATTCCAGCAAGATTTGTCCAATAGGGCATGCCCCAGAGTTTAGTTCTTCAGTGCCCAAGTACTTTGAAGTCTCTGAAAGTACTCCTCCAGGGACATCTGTCCTGAACATGACTGCAACAGACAGAGACACCAGTTCTTGGTACAATAGCAAAATATTGTATGTTATCTCAGCTGGGAATTCTGACGGTGCATTCCAAATTGATACCTTCAGTGGGAGTCTAATTGTCATGTCTAAACTGGACAGAGAACATCAGGGTGAATACAGCTTACAAGTGAATGCTCAAGATATGGGCAAACCATCACATTCGGCTCAACAGCTACTGAGAATTGTGATTTCGGATGAAAATGACAACCCACCGATATTTGAACATGATGAATATGAAAAAAGGGTGTATGAATATGTTGCTGTAAACTCCACTGTGTTACAGGTGTATGCTACAGATAATGACAGAGACCTCAATGCCAGGATTAAGTATTCGCTTTTGACTGACACAGAGGATTTCTATATTGAACCATCTAATGGCATGATCAAAGTTAGAAGGCAGCTTGATAGAGAGAGGCTAGCGGTATATCAATTGAGTGTCATGGCAAAGGATTCTGGTTTGCAGACAACTCTTTCATCAACAACACAGGTTACGATCACACTTCAGGATGTCAATGACAATGAACCAAAATTTGTTCCTTCAAGTTACAGTGTGAAAGTCAGAGAAGATTTACCTGTTGGTACAGTTGTCATGATCCTTACAGCAAATGATCCTGATGTTGGGGAGAATGGACTTGTAACTTATGAACTTGTTGATGGTATGGATGACAAATTTGATATAGATGATGTGAGCGGCACCATTCGTTTGCTCAAGAAACTGGATTATGAGACAAAACAAGTATATAACATAACTGCAAAGGCAGTTGACTGTGGCACCCCAACACTTGTATCAACCTGTTTTATGAATGTAGAAGTGGTGGATGTTGATGAAAATCTCAGTGCGCCACATTTTGACACTTTTGTGGTACAGGATTATGTATATGAAAACAAGCCCATTGGAACATTTGTTACACATGTCAGTGCAACGGACTATGTTGGACCTTCTGAGAAAAGGGGTCAGGTGGTGTACTCCATTCGTGATGGTTCTGGCTTGGGTCGGTTTTCCATTGACAACAATGGTAAGTATGTTATGTGTTAACATCATTCCTACCTGTTGATCTAGAGACTTGATTTTATTGTTAGCCTGTCACTTGTCTGTTTTTTGTCGTCCAGTGTAATCATCTAACCATCAGAAACCTGTGAACCTTCTTACCAGTTAATGTGAATAAGATTTACTGTATGTCAAAGGTCAAGGTGACAAGAATCCTTGTCATAGTAATTGCTTTCTTTGAAAGTTCTGCTTTATCACTCAATGTAGTAACAAGACATATTTTTCTATCCTTCCTCGGGTAAATTTTGAAAAAAATATAAAAATCAGTTATTTGTGTGCTAAATGTCCACTCTAAGTTAGTCTTTCAGACCCAGGAGAATGAATTAAAAAGGCCTCCCAGCTAGTCCAAGCTCCATTTTGATTACATGTATACATGTAGATATATACTTTTGAAAACGATGAGTTTCTTCGAAATACACAGTGCCATTTTAGAAAGTGATGGCGGTGGCTGAGCGGTCTAGGTGTCTGACTTTGTGTGCTGGCGATTAGGTGCCTGGCTTTGAGGGTGTGGGTTCGATTCCCAGATGGGACTCAACCCCAAAAGTACTAATCTGTACTTTACTAAGAAAGTGTAAGCCCAAATATAACGTATGTTAGATGACTTTCTTCCACTGACGTAATGTCAGTCTGGTCCACTTAGATTGATTGCATGGACAGGTGGTTTTGATGTGATAAAGTGACATGAACACATGATTAATACGGACAGTGACAAACAAGATACACCTGAATAATGGTTTTTGAATCCAGATGGCCTGTATATATTAATGCAAAATATTTATGCCTGTTATTATTTGTAGCAGTGAAAACAAACATGTAGATGATAACATGAAAACTATTAAAGTGAACAAGGGGTAATACAGGTGAGGTGAAATTGGGTTTAACGTTGTGCTTGAGAATATTTCGCTCATATGATGACGTGCATGCGTGTGTATGTGTATGTGCGGCTGCTTGTACTAGCCCAGACTGAAGCTGATTATATAGTGCTAGCCCACTGAGAATGCCGCAGTGAAGCATGAATACCCCACTCAGACACATTATACTGACTCCGAGCCGACCAGTTGTTGTTGTACCCATTAATGCCGAGCACCAGACAGGGCCCAACAAGTATCATAATTTTTCCTTATCCTGACTCATGCTCTTTAGCTTGTCTTCTTCTCGCGAACATAGTGGAACACTTGTATTTCCTTAATTGAAGCTCCCTTCAATGTAAAATCACTAATAGGTACTCACCACGAGTTGCCTCCCTTGCCCTTTTGGCGGGAACAGGTGTTGCCACCCTCTGGCCTCATGCTTCACTCTCTCCTTCTTCGCCCAGTGAGCAGGATGTGAGAGCACCTGTGTCTCCTTGCACACTATATCCTTTGATTTTTCTTAGTTAGTTACCTCTTATAGTTTACTATAGAGGTATAGCTAGTATCCTTCATTAATTTGTATTGATAATTAATCGTATTTCTACTGTTTATTCCGTGGAGTTAAGTGATTGTTCAGCTAGTATTACGTTGATGAAAACCTGTACTATTTGTATACTACGTTATTCTGCTGCTGATCCGCATGTAGTATGCCCTAGTTGTTCTACGCCTTGTGCGTTTGATTCACGTTGCAGTTACTGCATTAATTGAACTAATTCTGCTTTTAATAAATATCATCTTTGTGTCTTGAGACGTGCTGCAGATAGGTCACGCAAACTAGGGTTAGACATGGCCGATACATCGGATTCCCCTTCCAGTCAGCTGCTGTCGATCGATCCCCTCCCGTCTGGTGCTCTGCTGGAGACCCCATCGGAAGAGGGACGTGGGATGCAGTCCGTCACCTCTAAGAAGCGGCCGGCCTCCCCAGACATCCCGTCATCGCAGCTTAAGTCCGAGAGGGCCTCCAAGTCTTCTCAACGCAGACTTCGGACCCCCAGGGCAACGTCTACCTCCAAAGGGAAGTCTACGAAATCGTCAAGAACTTTCTCAGCCGAGATCATTCCAGCCACAGAACTGGGCCTCTACGATGATCAGCCGATTATCATCCCTGACATACGCCACAAGAAGAGACCGGTGACAGCTACAGTGACTTCAGCAGAGATCAACATGCAGCCTGATGCCTCTACACTGATGTTAGACGAAATCCCTGAGGGCCCCACTGTTAACATCGCAGAGAGAGAGCACCGACTACTTCGACGCAGACCATCCCAGATGATCTACTGCGGCAAATCATGGTCATGATGGAGGGTCACTACAGACTGGAGAAGCAGCCAACCCAGGATACGAGCCTTCGCGAAGGCTCCAACGTAGACAACACCCCACAGGCACCCCCAGTCAACGTAGCAGCCATGACGACGCCACCTTCACGAAGGAAGTTGCAGACCACTTCGGCGAAGGACCCAGAAGTACAGCCTTCGCGAAGGCGGGATAGATCATCACCTTCCTCGGCGTCATCCCTAGATGCGGACTCAGACCACCACACCTCTCGGAAGCAGTCGCGAAGGTCATATCACCGTTCCCCAGAACCGGACGCAGAGGAAGATTCGCGAAGGCAGTCGCGAAGGCAGTCGCGAAGGCACTCGCGAAGGACACCTGAATCCAGATCGTCTACTACCAGAAGGACATCGAGGGACTACTCAAGAGCTTCGCGAAGCTATCAACAGTCTCCTCACAGGTCTCCAAGAAGGTCAACCCATAGACGTAGATCACCAAGGCGGTCCCCCCGTCGTTCACCACGCCGATCTCCGCGTACATTTCCACGTCGATCACCTCACAGGTCACCACACAGGTCTGCACATAAGTCTACAACCAGGTCACCACGAGGGTCACCTGACATAGAGATAGTACCACACAGTCCACCATCAGAAGAGCACCAACCTCTCATCAATGATGCTGGAATAGAAGATGATGGAGGAATCATTTTCTCTGATGCAGAGATACGATATTGGATGGTAAACAACCTAGATCTCTCATCACCTTCCAAGAGTGGCAATACAACGCAGACATACCTGATGAAGGAAGATGATGCAGATGCTATCACCCTACCTCCGATCAACCCGATTGCTGCGGTACCACAGAATCTAGACACAGCATTCCATAAAGCCACAAAAGTTCAGACAACTCATTTGCCAAACTTTCACGCCAAGAAGTTCTCCACACACAACATGGACCCCTTCTTCAAGGCTCAAGACATCGATGAAAACTACAAACTTATCAACGATGTCAAGAATAAGAACTACAAGATTGACGATCGTAAATTGGTTCAGATTGAAACCATGACACGACGTATGTTCTTTGGCCTAAATAGATTGAGAACGATCAATGAGACACTTATCACCAGATTTCGTAACACGACTTCTGAAGATGATAGAATGATTTACTCGGCCCTACTTATGCAAATGAAGGACCAGCAGTTCCTAACGGATCACCTCACATCTGTCTCAGCAGCACTGACCTTAGCCCGTCGTCAAGGCCTCCTCGCTTCCTGCAGCTGGGGTGAGAACTTTACAGCTCCACTATATACAGCCCCTTGGTCTTCCCCATCCATCTTTGACGGAGGAATAGACAAGGTCTCCAAGGAAGTCACTAAGGATTCCAGAGAAGTCCTTATGATTAAATCAATGGACACGCTAGCTAGCGTCATCAGACAGACCTCACAAAGATACTCAGGGAGATCTAAATTCACTGGTCTACAAAGAGCACGGGATAGGAAGATAGCCAGCTCCAGGGGAAAAGATTCTTTTCGTCGCCCATTTGGCAACTATAGAGGAGGGTCAGAAAGAGGCAGGACACCCAGAGGTTCCCGCAACTATAAACGCTGAAAGACAGGTTCGGAACGACTGGAGTCTTCCACCCCCAGCCATTCCAGTACAACCGTCACAAGTGGGTGGATGCCTCCAACTACACTGGGAAAACTGGGGAATGTTACAAGACCCTTATGTCTCCAACATTCTTCAACACGGATTTCGTATCCCACTAAAGGCCAAGCCTCCGCTGACAGTCAACCCTCACAAGTTCGCTTACAGGCACAACAACTACCGAAGTTAAGAGAGGCTGTTACATCACTCCTAACCAAGCAGGCCATAGAAGTACTAGACCAAGCAAACATCGAACCAGGTTTCTACTCCCCAGTTTTCCTAGTACCCAAGAAAAACTCCAAGGAGAAATACAGACTCATCTACAACATTAGCTTTTTCAACAAGAATTATCTACGCAAACCACCGAAGTTTCGCATGATACATCTACCTCAGTTACGGCATTTGATTCGCCCCATGGATTACATGGGCAGTATCGATCTACAGGACGCCTACCTGCACATCCCGATACATTCCGAAGCCAGGAAATACCTACGGTTTACACTAGACGGGCTACATTACCAGTGGAAAGTACTCCCATTCGGAATATCATCAGCCCCCTGGCTATTCACGAGGATAACGAAACCGATTATCACCTATCTTCATCGTCAAGGGCTACGCAGTGGCGTTTTACCTCGACGACGGGATACAAGTAGATCAAGATCCACAGCGTCTCAAACTACAGTTAAACTACATCATAAAGCTACTAACACAACTAGGATGGTTAGTAAACTTACTCAAGTCGGACCTAGTACCATCGCAAGACCTGCAGTTCCTAGGCATTCGATTTATCACGAATCTCAACCCGTATCGTCAGTACCAGAAGACCGTTGGATCAAGATCCAACAGACCATTCCACCAGCTCTACTCTCTCCGTTTCCACTTCGACAGTGGCAGAGCCTACTAGGTCTCCTCACATCAGCCCAAGACATGACAGTCAGAGGCAGATTACAGTTGCGTCCCTTACAGGTCTTCATCAATGCACATCTCGACGACCTACAACCATTCAGTCTACCGAAACATCTCAGACCTCATCTACTATGGTGGACAAAGAAATGGAATGTCTGCGAAGGGATTTGTTTAGCAGAGCAGGAATTCAAAACCCATCTATATGTAGACGCGTCGCTCCAAGGTTGGGGAGCTCATCTCGCCA